GGGGCCCGCCGCTTTTCCAGGCTACGGCTCGGCAGGTTTTTTTTTTTCCCTGGGAGTTCAAACCACGTTTCCCCCTCCTCCCACCTAAGCTAGGGTCTGTCCGCGGCTCCATCCCCGCGCCCACCGGAGACTCAAGACCAAAATGTTACTAGGAGGGAACCAGGCTGAGAGCCGGACGGGGGGCGCCGGAGAGGAAGCGAGATCGAGTATTTCCGAGCCCCAAAAGGGCACCCGTGGAGGTGGGCGAGGGAGCTCTCGGCGCGTTTCGTTACACAAGTAAATAGCACGTTCAGAAATTCAACCCCGGCCGGGCCCTGGTGGTTCTCAGGGATGCCCTTCGGGGCTGCTTAGGCGCCGGGCAGAAAGCGCAGCGACACCCACCCACCCACCCACCGTGCGTCCCTTCGGCAAGTGTTGGGGATGGTTTGGTTTTGGGTGGGGATTTATTTCTATGTCGCTGGTTTGGTTGTTTCTCCTCCCTTTTTCCTCCTATGTTTAAATCTCCCACGTCCTCGCCCTCAACTATTTCTCGTGGATCAGTTGGCGTTTAAATAGCCCTTCGACTTGGCCAGGGGTTGTAATGGACCAGAGGAGGAGGGGGAAAAAGAGGCTTTGGGTAGCGCTGCGTGGAGTTGTAGTTACACTCCTTACGCGCCGGGCAGAAAGCGCAGCGACACCCACCCACCCACCCACCGTGCGTCCCTTCGGCAAGTGTTGGGGATGGTTTGGTTTTGGGTGGGGATTTATTTCTGTGTGGCTGGTTTGGTTGTTTCTCCTCCCTTTTTCCTCCTATGTTTAAATCTCCCACGTCCTCGCCCTCAACTATTTCTCGTGGATCAGTTGGCGTTTAAATAGCCCTTCGACTTGGCCAGGGGTTGTAATGGACCAGAGGAGGAGGGGGAAAAAGAGGCTTTGGGTAGCGCTGCGTGGAGTTGTAGTTACACATCAGAGGAGCTACTCAGTAAATAACTAGCTAACCGGCCTGCCCCACTTTCCGATCACCGTGCGGGGACTTAGCGCCAGGCTGTTTTAAATACACTCTTGTCTTTCTTAGCCTCGCAGTAATCCTGCGGGGACAGGGGGCCGCAGCTAGCGAATCAAGCCCCGCTGGAAAGGACCCCCAGTTGCCAGCGCGAAGGGGTAAACAGGAGCGCGGATTGAGGCCAGCCGAGGCAGCCGAAAGTTGCCGCTGGTGCTACGCCGCGGTGGGCCCCGAGTTATTTTTAAACGCGCTGGATTCGCCCATGGACTCGACACGAATTGAGCCTCCCTGTGCTAATGCCATTCCCGGGGATTAGGAGCGAGGGCGATTACTGCCCGGCCCCATCAGGCTCCGACTCGCCCCGCCAGCAGAAAGACAGACCCGTGAGCCCCGCAAATTAGCTTATCGAAAAGGGATCGCCGCATTAAGCAGCTTTCGGTGTAATTACACAAAATAGCTGGCATGGACTCGACACGAATTGAGCCTCCCTGTGCTAATGCCATTCCCGGGGATTAGGAGCGAGGGCGATTACTGCCCGGCCCCATCAGGCTCCGACTCGCCCCGCCAGCAGAAAGACAGACCCGTGAGCCCCGCAAATTAGCTTATCGAAAAGGGATCGCCGCATTAAGCAGCTTTCGGTGTAATTACACAAAATAGCTGGCGTGTCCTCCTCGACAATGTGGCAAACCCCCCCCCCCCCCACACACACACACACACACTCCTGGCGTATTCCAGACGAACCGGGTGCGCTAGTTTCCTCCCGGCCGCAGCCAAAATATCTCGGGCTGGAAGCCGGCACCGGGGGAACGGATTAAGTCCGATTTACCGGAGGGGGATTTTGTTTTGGTTTGTTATTTTAAATGCCTCATTCAAGGCAGCAAAGTTGCTCCCCCTCCCCCACGGCCCAGCCTAATTGGACGTGAAACCGGCGGAATATTGGCGAACGGAGCGACCTGGAAACGAATTCCGCCGCTAGAAAGCGAATTGAACCAGGCGCCG